TTCTCCTTCCCCCCTCCGCATTTCATTCTTTCTCCTTCCCCCTCCCGTTTCATTCCTTCCCCTTCCCCTCCCATTTCATTCCTTCCTTCCCCCCTCCCATTTCGTTTCCTTCCCCGCATTTCATTCTTTCTCCTTCCCCCCCTCCCGTTTTGTTCAATACCGGGTTCTCTCTGGGATCTTCCATTTCTTTAGCACTATTTACATAATATCCTAAATATGACGAGATTAAAGGGATACATACGCAGGGGAACTCTTTTTGCGACCATTATAATTGAAATGGAAATTATTTTTACAATACCAGGAGAACAGATTAGATTACTTCTGTTGTGGGGAATTTTCTTTTTAGGCTTCAGACTTTTATTTGTTTTATTTATTTTGATAGTTTTATTGATGTAAACTTTAATGGTGCTGTTGTACTTCTTTCCATTATGTTGTGTACACTTTGTATTTTTTATCGTTCTCCTTTGGATCCTTGATGCTTGTAAACCCTATCCGTTACAGCCGTTATGATCTGGTCTTCAAGTCTGAGGTCTTGTAATATTTTTACAGGAAGGTCCGTAATTATCTGGAACATTTCATTCCTTCCCCATTTCATTCTTTCTCCTTCCCCCTCCATTTCGATTTCTTTCCTCCTTCCACCTCCATTTCATTCCTTCCCTTCCCCTCCATTTCATTCCTTCCCCACATTCATTCTTTTCTCCTTCCCCCCCCTCCCCATTTCATTCTTTCTCCTTCCCACCCCATTTCATTCCTAACCCTCCCCCCCTCCCTCGAATTTCATTCCTCCTACCCCCTCCTGACACTGGCGGCGGGCGGGCAGGCCGGCGCGCGAGGGAGCACTCTGTGTGCTTCCTCTTCAGCTCCCTCGCGCGCCGCGTACTGATGCCGGAGCCGGAAGATGACGTCATCTTCCGGCTCCGGCATCAGTACGGTGCGCGAGGGAGCTGAAGAGGAAGCACACAGAGAGTGCTCCCTCGCGCGCCGGCCGGGTATCAGCAGTGCCAGCCTCTGGGGGCCCTGAGGTGGCTGGCTGCTGGGCCCCCCAGGAGAAGAGGCTGGCCCTGTGGGTACATACCGGGGTCGCAGGGCCCCCTGCGAACCGGTATGTACCCACTGAATGTGGGCCCCGGACGACCTTAGCAGTCCGGGCCCCCCAGGACCGCCGGGCCCATGACAACCGTTGCAGTTGTCATGCCCTGATGGCGGCCCTGTTTGGAATGTGTCCATCACTAGGACCCTAATAAGAAAGAATATCCGGCCCTATGAGCCCCATAAAGCCATAACTCACAAGTAGGATTTAAATCCACACTTTTGTTTGAGAACTGCTTCACAATTTTATAAGTTTCACCTCAATGGCTAAGTCATAGATCTTCATTGAATACAATATGTACTCTTAACTATAAATTAGATTTTGTAATACCGGTATATTGTGGTTTATTCCCTAACCACAAACTAAATTACAACATTTTGGCTAAATATCCAAGCTGTAGCTGAGATGGAGATTTTTTTTAAAGCATCTATGTTAGTCTGAATTTGGTAATATGGGTCTATATTCACTACAATTCAGAGTTTATAAAATAAACTCCATCACTGAATCTCGGTCTTCTTGATTAGCACTTTCAGACTAGATTTTTGTGTGTGTGTGAAATGACTAAATAAATAAAAACCTGGAATTATAAAACTGAGTATTAAAACAGACCTGACAAGTCACCTGATTGCTCTGGGTGAAATTGTATTTTTTCCTAAATTCTCCCAGCTGCCTGACATGCTGCTTCTGCCACCCTGTTGAAGCTTGAGAGAAAGAGTTGTGTGAGAGTGCATGGCAGTTTAACTCAATTTTAGGGCATTTAAGGACAATCACAAGCATTTCAGCAGCTTTCTGCTTATGGACTGTGCTTATTGGCTTTCAGCTGGGCATCCATTCATCCTGACATGCATGAGTGCCAGGATGATCCACCTTAACGTACATAGTACATTGTCTCTGATTGAATTAGTGTACCTGCCAACCAAGCTCTGCCCACCCATCCCTCTCCCAACATCAACCCTGACAAACGTTACGGTCTGTTTAAAGAGACTAAGCACTGGAATTATTTCCATCACATTTGGTTACAGCCAAGGAAGCATGTTGTCTTGAGGGCCTATGCTTTGTTTCCTGCCTGTGAATTGTGCCTTAGAGACTTGAGAGAAAGAAATGTTCAGACGGTAACCATTAAAAGAACCAAGAAATTCCTGGACCATGCCCTACCTTCTTGCAAAAAGTTGCATTAATTTTCTTTAAAACTGTATTTCCCATTAAACATATCCTAGCATAGAGCCCCATTTATTGGGGAAATACATTTGCAAGGAATTCAGTAAAACAAAATAATGCTCCAGGTTCTCATGGGATCTTCCATTTCTTTAGCACTATTTACATAATATCTAAATATGACAGACAAAAAGGATACATACACAGGGGGAACTCTTTTTGCAACCATTATAATTGAAATGAAGTATTTTTACAATACCAGGAGAACAATTAGATTGCTTCTGTTGTGAAATTTTCTTTGGAAAGCTGAACTTTTATTTGTTTTTATTTATTTTGATAATTTTATTGATGTAAACTTTAATAGTGCTGTTGTACTTCTTTCCATTATGTTGTGTGACACACTTTGTATTTTATCGTTCTCCTTTGGATCATGATGCTTGTAAACCTATCCGTACAGCCGTGCCAATCTGGTCTTCAAAGTACGAGTCTTGTAATATTTTTTACAGGAAGGTCATAATTATACGGAACATTTGTTAGGCATGGACTATTGTTCATCAGGAATTCAGGAATTTGTATTTTCCTCTTTCATATCCACCCAATTACGTGTCCTAAGATTTAGCTGCATTTTCCCCCATACAGAACTCTTAGTCTTAAAGGTAAGCTTTTATAACAGCCAGAAGGACATGTGATTTACTGCTGGAATGTAAATCTGTGTGGTTTTGCTGTGGATTATAGTAATGCTATTGCTGTGTGAAATCTGACAAAATGTGTACTTTTCTTTGTCTTGGATGCCCTGTTAGACATATATTCACGATATCTAATCTTTGAACAGAGTCTTGACAGATTCATAGAAATAAGTCAGGCTTAAAGATTCAGGGGTCTATCCAAAACATTCTTTCACACACGAAAACCCTCAGATTTAGTCAGATATATATTGAATAATAGCTGAGCTGCTATTATGTATATTCAAATATTTGATTTATAACTATTTCCTGATACTTTGCCGGGTTGGTTCTTCAAATCTGAGCTTTCAGGTGAGAAGCTTTTGGTGTCCTGTACAACTTGCAATACAAAAAGAAAGAGTATTACCATGATAAATAATAATATAGTACAATTATATAATGGATAATAAACTACCGGGGGGACAAACATGTAGCTTCCTTTTCCCTGTACTGTGCACAAGGCTCCCTGGGGCTGAATGACAATTCCCACATATTCCTTCTATGATGTGCAGAAAAACTGAGTTTTAATATGCAGACTGGTGGCCACTCAGATAGCGTGTTTACCTCATCTTTTACGGTCCATGAACAAGTTCTTCATGTTCTCTATTAATCAGTTGAGAGCCCAGGACTTCCTCCATTCTAGTAATATAATATACTTACCTGTACATACGTACCTGTACATTTACGCTACAAAACTACAGCATTGGTCCCCTATGGAATAACACTAACGTTACAGCCCATGCTATAGAACGAAAGTAAAATCAGTAACTTTCATATATGCATGGTCCTGGTTCATGTCAAACCACTTAAAAACTGGTTGACTATAACTGGAGAGACTGCTTCTGTTGCATCAAATAAACTGTAGTGGGTATGGGGCTCTAAGTCAGGGGCAGACTGGGGATTCCAAAGCAGCCCTGGAAAAAAATCTATGCCAGCCCCATAAGTCATTGCGCCATATATTGTCGCATGTAATATGTAAGGTTATGTCTTGCCACCCTAGATGATTGATATATATATATATATATATATATATATATATTGCTTTTTCCAATATAAAATATTGGTCCTTTCAGAGTAAAATTTTTAATTATACAGTAAGCATACTCACATGCAGACACAGACAATCTCACTGACACAAACTGATTGACACACAGCCTCATAAACAAACAATCTCACTGATATACATAAGGTCATTGACATAAAAACACAAGCTCACTCAGTAGCAAGCACACATACAGCTTAATGTAGTGGTTCTGGTGTCTATAACCTGTCCCTGCAGGCTTTTCAATGTAAACACTGACTTTTTAGAGAAAAGGCAGTGTTTACATTGCTTCCTAGTGACAGACACTCAGACGGTCACTAGAAGTGCTTCCTGTGTCAGTGCGGATTGGCTGAGATCATCAAGCTTGGGGGGGGGGAGAAAGGTGAGTAAAAACACACATACACACACACATAACATGACAGACACACACCATGACACAGACAGACCGTGACACAGACACACACACACCGTGACACAAACAGAAACACAGACACACCATGACAGACAGACACACCATGACACAGACAGACACACACCATGACAGAGACACACACATACCATGACAGACACACACACATACCATGACAGACACACACCTTAAAAAAGACACACACACACACCTTGACATACACACACACCATAACACAGACAGACCGTGACACAAACACACACACTGTGACACAGACACACAATACATGACACAGACAGACACACACACCATGACACACAGACACACACACCACGACACAGAGAGACCGTGACACAGACAGACACACACACCATGACACACAGACACACACACACCACGACACAGAGAGACCGTGACACAGACACACACACCATGACACAGACAGACACACATTACATGACATAGACAGACACACACACACCATGACAAACACACACACCATGACACAGACAGACCGTGACACAGACAGACACAAATTACATGACAGACACACACACAATGACACAGACAGACACACCATGACAGACAGAGACACACACAATGACACAGACAGACACACACAATGACACAGACAGACACACACACACAATGACACAGAGACACACACACACCATGACACAGACAGACACACACAAAATGACAGAGACACACACACACACCATGACACACACACACACATACACTCACACTGACACACAGAATTTTACCTGTGTGCTGGCGGCCGCATGGGGAGCTCAGTCTGATGGCGGCCGCATGGGGGAGCTGGCTCTTCTTGCGGCCGCAGAGGGAGCTCTTTTGGCGGCCGCAGGGGGAGCTGGCTGTTCTGTCTCTGCTCTCCCGCCCCAGCGCCCAGCTTAATGAGACCGGGGCCGGAATATGACGTCATATTCTGGCCCTGGTCTCTTTCTAGCGCGCGAGGGCGGGGGAGCAGAGACAGAACAGCCAGCTCCCCCTGCGGCCGCCAAAAGAGCTCCCTCTGCGGTCGCAGGTGAGCCAGCTGCCTGCCCGGCCCCAGGTGCCAATGGCCCACCGGGAATTTTCCCGGTATCCTGGTGGGCCAGTCCGGCCCTGCTCTAAGTATATATGAATCTCAAATCTATAATACTCCACATGAAAGAATATGATATAAGAATATTTTGGCAAATAAAGTAATATTTTGACAAATAAGGTAATATTATGGCAAATAACAATACAGACACTCTCACTTACTGACCGGGTTCCGTTCTTACGACCTGGACGTAGAATGAATTGTTTGGTTAGTGAGGAGTTAAGGGATTCCCTGCTCTGGTGCGTTTGTTTCTCTGCTCTGGTGCGTTCGTTTATGTTCGGGGAAACTTCCTTGAGCATAGACAAACGCACCAGAGCAGGGAACCCCTCTAATCTATGTTCAGGGAAATTTCCCCAAACATAGATTAGAGGGATTCCCTGCTCTCGTGCATTCGTCTATGTTTGGGGAAGTTTCCCTGAACATAGACATGCGCACCACAGCAGGGAATCCCCACGGCGGCTCGAACTAACGCCTGCTCGTAAGTGCGAGCCGTCGTAAAACAGGTAGGTCGCTAAATGAGGACCACCTGTATAATAAAACACTCTATTAGTACATTACTTAGGTAATTCTCTGGTCTTACTGGGTCATATCGGGGTTTGCTGAGTAAACTTCTCTGTCACAATTTAAACATTGGGGTTCATTCAATAAATAACGATTGTATTACATTAAAAAACATTTAATTCAGGCGAATAGAGCTGATTTTGAAAAAGTGCATTATTTTGAAATTCAGTCTTTAACTCACCACAACTCCCAGTTTATTGTCTAAATCCCACAGAATACATTTTTGTTTCCTTGTTGAAAAGTATGCCTGCTTTATATTTAATCTACTAAACCCCATTAAAGTGTAATTAATATATGATGAGCCCAGTTTAAAAATGAATTAACGGTAAAACTATAGTTTAATTTTGGATCCTGTCCCAAAAATGTTTGCTATGCTACATCAGAATGTAAGAATACAACTTTCACTCTTACTCTTTCCAGGGCATTTCGGCTGCTACGCAAACTAGGATTAAATCTAAGAATCTAGCAGCTGTCTTTTATGACTAATCTCTGAACAAATGTTGCAAACATACGATTTGAAGCTTTGAAAGTATTCTTTGAATTTGTGTGTGTGCATGTATCTGCTGTTGCTGCCATTGTGAAGATTACTTGCAGGTGCACCCTTTAGTGCCCTTGGCTCCAGGAATCCTAGAGTGGGTAGGAGAGATTAGAGGTAGATGAAGCAAATGTAGACAAACAACAGAACACAAACAGAAATCATAGAAATTGTGCAGCCTGGCATTCACATAAACATGTGCAGACCATGACTATCCTGAACAAGTTTATAGTAGATTTACTGTATTGTTTTGTAAAGTTATAAAAAGGTGCAGCTGAGCAGAAATCATGAAATCTCTCTCTCTCTTTTTTTTTACTATAATTTACCGCTACCTTTTAAAGAAGAACTCTCACTTCCAAAAAATGTGATGGTACTTTGTTCCTTCACCCCTTTAAACACCATTGCAGTGTCCACTAGGGTTAATGCAGCAGAGGTACACAAAAAAAGTGACTTACCTTAACCCCTTAAGGACCAAACTTCTGTCATGTGTCCTTAAGGGGTTAAAGGACCACTATAGTGCCTGGAAAACAAACTCGTTTTCCTGGCACGATAGTGCCCTGAGGGTGCCCCCACCCTCAGGGTCCCCCTCCCGCCGGGCTCTGGGGAGAGGAAAGGGGTTAAACTTACCTCTTTCTCCAGCAACGGGCGGGGATCTCTCCGCCTCCGATCCTCCTCCTCTCCTCCCATTCGGCTGAATGCGCACGCGCGGCAGGAGCTGCGCGCGCATTCAGCCGGTCTCATAGGAAAGCATTTACAATGCTTTCCTATGGACGCTTGGGTGTTCTCACTGTGATTTTCACAGTGAGAATCACGCAAGCGCCTCTAGCGGCTGTCAATGAGACAGCCACTAGAGGATTTGAGGGCTGGATTAACCCATTTATAAACATAGCAGTTTCTCTGAAACCGCTATGTTTATAAAAAAAATGGGTTAACCCTAGCTGGACCTGCCACCTAGACCACTTCATTAAGCTGAAGTGGTCTGGGTGCCTAGAGTGGTCCTTTAACTACACCTCCATGTTGCAATAATTCACTGCTCCATAATGCTTAGGGCCCTCATATGTGGTTGGACATCTATGAGTGAAACAAACGGCACTGCTACATAAAATGTTGAGTGCGCAGGAGATTGTACGCCATTTCTCCATTAGATGCACGTTCATGCAGGCGCTTGGCATTTTATCCAGCAATGACGTTCACGCAACAATGTTCATTTATTAATTTATGTAATGGAAAATAAACTATAGAGAATGTTAAATTAATTTTAGTGAAAAGTAGCTACATTTCTAAGAGTTAAATTACGCTAAAATTGAAAACATGACAGATCCAGTTTAAACATGCATACACAAAAAGTGAAAGTGAGTCTCTCATGGCAAACACAAGTTTGTTTTAAATTTTTATCTATGTATTGTGCTAGCAGTACTGCTGGAAAAGTTTGGGAAAACACATTAAGACATAGTAGTTCCCCTTTCCATTCAATAGTGGGATGTTGAAAATGAAGTAATATTGGAGAGGAAAAAAAATAACTTTCTTGTATATGTAGTTCAGCGACTACAGTGCATGTGCTGTAATTGCTTTGCTTATTCCTTTAGCAAACAAGTCACTTTGATAGACAAATTTAGGAATGTAGTTACAGGTGTAACGCTTTTCAGATACTGATGTGATGGCCATGATGCAAGCATGTTGGCATCATGGGGAAGGTGTGCCATTTTTCGGTAAGTGTTCTTAAGCAGGACCAATCCAGAAAGAGAGGGAAGTTTGTAGGTGGGAGCACAGACCCAGTAGTTGTCGACAGTAATGACAGAGTGCCGTCTACAGTGCTGAAGAATGAGTTTAAAAGCCCTTAGGTGAATGTACTCTTTTATGTGAATAAACTATACTACGTTATGCACTAAACTGAAATTTGTGCCATATGCCAAACTCTTGAAACAACTTATTCCTTATCTTGTAAGTCTTCCATTACACTTATTACAGCTTTATTTCTGAAGAGTGCTTCCTATTTATGTACAAGATAAAAACCATTATGCAGCCGTAAAAGAATTTCCTTAGAACATCAGCCAATGCTAACATGTGTCTGCTATTGTTTCTGATAGGAGAGGAAAGGTGAGATAATAGCTACTGTGTTTACCAGCCTCCATAAGAGATGTGACTATATTAATCCTTCATGTGTTTGTCTTTTGTTGTAGGTAGCATAAAGCACATATTAAAGGTTTGAAAGTAATTGTATTCAAATATGCAGCATAGGGGGGATATGACAGAAACATTTAAATACATAAAGGGAAACACAGTAAAGGAAGAGACTCTATTTAAAAGAAGAAACTACCACAACAAGAGGACATAGTCGTAAATTAGAGGGGCAAAGGTTTAAAAATAATATCAGGAAGTATTACTTTACTGAGAGGGTAGTGGATGCATGGAATAGCCTTCCAGCTGAAGTGGTAGAGGTTAACACATTAAAGGAGTTTGAGCATGCATGGGATAGGCATAAGGCTATCCTAACTATAAGATAAGGCCAGGGACTAATGAAAGTATTTAGAAAATTGGGCAGACTAGATGGGCCGAATGGTTCTTATCTGTTGTCACATTCTATATTGTTTTGTGGCAATTACTTGTAGTATATAGCATAAGGGGTATCTACACAATCCCTCTTTATAAGATGTCTTTCATATTTCTATGTACTATATGCTTGCTTCATAAGCAATATAATTGTGGAATGCTTAAAGTAACCATAACATGTAAAAATGAAGAGAAGATATTTAAATGTACTCCCAGCGCATACCACAAAACTTTCCCTATTTAGGTGGGACAGTCCCCTTTTGGGCTGAATTTCCTATGTCCCTCTTTTCTATCCTAACATCCCCCTTTTCTTGGAGCTCCATGTCGTTGATTCACAGTCTATACAGGTGACTGGCCTTAAAGGACCACTATAGTGCCAGGAAAACATACTCGAGAGGAGGCGGAGAGGAGGAGGAGAGTCCCCCTCCCGGCGCTGGAGAAAGAGGTAAGTTTAACCCCTTCCTCTCCATCCAGCCCGGCGGGGGACTCTCCGCCTCCTCTCCTCCTTCTCGGCTGAATGCGCATGCATTGAGAAGCACGTAAGCGCCTCTAGCGGCTGTCAATGAGACAGCCACTAGAGGCTGAATTAACCCATTTATAAACATAGCAGTTTCTCTGAAACTGCTATGTTTATAGAAAAAAGGGTTAAACCTAGCTGGACCTGGCACCCAGACCACTTAATTAAGCTGAAGTGGTCTGGGTGTCTATAGTGGTCCTTTAATATGGTGAACTTTTGTTTCTGTTTATGCAGCCAAAGCCACACCTCCCCTGGCTGTGACTCACAAAGCCTTCATGAAAACAAAATGGTTTCATTTTCAATCAGATATAACTTACTTTCAAGGTTTTATCTCCTGCTCTGTAATTTGAACTTTAATTAAATACAGGAAGCTCCTGCGGGATCTAGGAAGTTATTAACAGAGCAGCAGATAAGACATTATAAATTAAACAGATTTTGCAATAAAGGAAGTATAAACATTAGATGACTCTTTACAGGAAGTGTTTAGGAAAGCTGGGTAAGTCACATGCAGGGAGGTGTGACTAGGG